ACACCTTCTTTCTAATTGAACCCCCTAGCGACCAATCTTGCCTTGTATCTCTTTAACGCTACTCCTTTGATCCCTTCCTTAACTTTGAAAATCCATTTACAACTGACTAACCCGACTCCAACAGGTTTTTTGATTAGTTCCCAGGTGTTGTTATCACGAAGAGATTTCATCTCATCATCCATGGCTTTCAGCCATTCAGTCTTATGTCGACTCCTCATAACTTCATTATAGTCTTTAGGTTCTTCGTCTAAAACCTCACTTGCAGAGATTAAGGCATAAGCTATAAAATATGCATACCCAAGTCTCTGAGGTGGCTTGATGACTCTCTTCGACCTGTCTCTTACTAGCAGGTAGTTATTATCAGTATCCTCATCTTCGACAACATCTTCTACGTCTTCTTCGACTTCATATGGGACACGCAATTCAGCATCAACATGCTCTACCTCAACAGGAATCTCTCCTTGTTCCAACTCTTTGTCAACATCATCAATTTTCTTGAAAGCCATATCCGCTTCATTAAAAACTACATCTCGACTAGTGATACACCTCCTATAACCTGGATCTAGGCACCATAGCGTATAAGCTTTTACTCCTTTAGGGTATCGCATGAACATGCACTTCAGAACTCTAGGTTCGATATTGTCTTGCCTAATATGAGCATATGCCACACAACCAAATACTTTCAGTCTGTCTAGACTAGGTGGATATCCCGACCAAACTTCTTCAGGTGTCTTCATTCCCAAGGCAGTTGAGGGACATCTATTTATCAGATAGGCTACTGTCGAAACAGCCTCCGCCCAAAACACCTTCTTCAATTCATCACTAACCAACATGCATCTAACCCTTTCAAGGATTGTTCGATTGAATCTCTCAGCTAAACCATTTTGTTGAGGAGTACCTGCTACAGTCTTATACCTTGTAATCCCATACTCAACACAGTAACTGTCGAACGCTTTATTGCAGAACTCAAGGCCATTGTTGGTTCTCAACCTCTTAACCTTTCTGCCAGTTTGAGTGTCGACTAGAACCTTCCAACTTTTGAAATTCTCAAAACTTTCATCCTTCGTCTTTTGGATGAATGCCCATAGCTTTCTGGAATAGTCATCAACGATGGGTAGAAAATACCTTGCATCTTAGTGTGAAGAATTCCTTACAGGCCCTCAAAGATCAGCATGAATGTAATTCAGAGATCCATCTGTTCTTTGCTTGCCTTTGTTAAACTTTTCCCTACAGAATTTACTAAATACACAAGATTCACAAAAATTCAACTTTTCTACTTTGTCACATCCTAGCAAGTTCTGCTTCCCCAATTAGATCAGGCCTCTTTCGCTGACATGGCCCAATCTCATGTGCCATAATTATGACTTCGACACAGGTTTCATGGATGTAACATTTGTCGAACCACTTACAGCCTCAGTCTCAAGGGTATACAAGCCTTGTTTCTTCACGTCTCTTAAGACTTCCTTCGACCCTTTCATGACTCTTAGGATACTTTTCTCTCCTTGAAAAACATATCCCTTTCTGTTGAATTCACAAAGAAAAATCAAATTTCTCTTCAAATCAGATACATAACTAACTATAGTCAATAACCTTATTGACTAATCATGAAGTTTGAATCTCACAGATCCAATACTTGCAATTTTGCAAGATTTGTTGTTTCCCAGCAGCACCGATCCACCATCTTGATCACATAGCTCCTCGAACAGTTCTCTGTTTGGAGTCATGTGCCAAGTGCAACCTGAATCCATAATCCACTTTTTTTTGTCGCCACTTGAAACCACAAGGACATCAGATGAGTAGAAAGCATCTTGAGTAATGACTGTGTTACCAATATCCTTACCTCCATGATCTTTTAGGAATTCAAAACACACCTTTCTTGTGTGACCCTCCTTCTTACAGTAATAACATCGAATACCAGATATTTCGCCACTATAAGACTTCTGTTGACTTTTACCTTTCTTCTTGTCGAACTTACCATCTTTTCACAAGAATTTTCCCTTAACGGCCAAACCTTCGCCCACCGTCGAAAGTTTATGCTTCTTTCATTCGTTCAAGTCCTTAGAATACAAGGCTGATTGAACTTCTTAAAAACTCATGGACCCCCTTCATACAAGAGAGTTTCTTTGAAGTGAGCATGTGTTATGGGCAAAACACACAATAACAACATTGTTTGATCTTCATCATCGATCTTCACATCAGTATTTTTAAGATCAAGAATCAGCTTATTGAACATATCCAACTGCTCAACCAACATTTTGTCTTCACTCATCTTGAATGAATACAAATCTTGCTTCAGGTAGAGTCGATTCACCAGAGATTTGGTCATGTACAAACTTTCAAGTTTCACCCATAACCCCGATGCTGTAGTCTCCTTTGATACCTGACAAAGAACCTTATCACCAAGGCTCAACAATATTGCACTGTGGGATTTCTCAATCATGACCGTCTTTTCTTTTGCCGTTAATGCAGCGCCCATGATTGCCTCTCCCTTCAATGCTTCCAAACAACCCTGCTGAACTAATAGGACTTTCATCTTCAAGCGCCACAGACCGAAGTCGTTCACTCCGGTGAACTTTTTAATCTTATACTTTGTTGAAGGCATCTTCTACACGCTCACCGCACCAATTTGTTGTGAATAGAATGCCTTAAAACAAAATATAAACGATTTCTTTATATTCAGGAAACGCACAAGGGTTAGGGTTTAAAAAGAAAACAAGCAAGAAGAACAAGAAGAAACAACAACGATTGGTTATAAACTGCTATTCTTTCCTTTATCTATCAAACAAGATTACAAGTATACAAGAATAACAAATAACCTCTCTCTCTTGAATTAGGATTTTATCTTCCTATTTTTCCTTATATGCAAGATGAGAGACTAACATGCTATTTATAAGAAAAATAGCACACTAACCTAATGAGCTTTTAGCAATTATCCATTACAAGCTAATTTAGGGTACAAGCTAACTTAAACAATTGAGTTTACAAGCAAGACTCAATTCAACATGCTAACAAACTTAGCAATATTGACTAATGCATGTTAGAACAAACTTCGACTACAACACGCATTATTCCGACAACATACTAGAATTCGATCCAATATTTCACATGTTGTTATTTGATAATGTATGAATGACTTAACACAAAATTATATTATTCTATATAGGTGTATGTATTGTTCAATAATTTTTTGTAAAAAATTGAACCAACTAAACCAATCCAACCACATTGATTTAATTTGATTTAATTTAATTTTATTTCTTAAAACTAACCGAACCGCATGTTTTTTTCTCTTCAGTTTAAATAATTTTTAATATTAAAACTGTGCAAAGTGCATTTCATTCTCTCTTATAAGATATACCTATTTGCTATCATTTATTTAAGTATTTGAATACTAACTTTATAGCTGTAATCTCTACCCCACCTACTAATATTTTTTTTACTTCCTTAACATATAATTTTTTTTGACGACTTTCATCAACACATTATCAATTTTTTGTCCTGCAATCAAATATAAATAATATTTATGAGAGTAATTTGAGTAAATATACTTCAATTATAATTACTTTAATGAAATTTTATGTTGACATTTACAACTGAATATTTATGAATATTACATTAAAATTTAACATATACCTTCGATTACATAGTCATGAAAATGACAATTTTTGTGTGCAAACATTTTAATTAATAACTTTTCCGAGGCAACATTTTAATTAATACTTAGACACATTCTTTTACCGTTTATACACATAACTTTATCGTGTCTTTAATAAGTGTACATTTTCTTTAAATACTCAATAATTTGAAGTGTTAGGTTTAAATACTTTAAAAGCATTCATAATGCTTAGTTCTATATCTAAATATTTAATGTAGAGTTTTTTTTTAAAATAATTTTTTAATATTAGTATTAAATAAATATTTATTTACTCAAATTCAACACTTACAAAAAACATTAAACGAGTCACATCTATAATTTTATATCATTATATTTTAACAACAATATTCATTTATTTTTATACAAATTTATTAAAAAAATCATTTAAAATAAGTAGAGAGAGTGAACTTGTTTAACAACCTCTTCTTAATATTCATGCATTTTTTTTTCATCTTCAACAAAATACCTAATATGTAGTGATTTATAATAGGTAAAATCACTAAATTTAAAAAAATTTAAAAATTTTAATTTTGTCCTTAAAAACATTTGTGAAAGTAATAAGTGTATTATTTTTTAATAAAATGTTTTAAATTCCTTAAATAGTATTTTTAAAGCACTTATTAGCAATTTTTTCATTTTAATTAATATGAAAAATGATATTAGTGTGTCCATCAAATTGTCCAACTAACTCTAAGTCAAATAAAGACTCCCCCAAATTATTAAACAAAACTTCCCTAATAAAAACAAACCTCTTCATAAACTACCTAATCCCACTACTCTTCACAATTTTAAAAACAATTTTTTTCTAAAAATTAAATAAAATTATAATTTTAATGTTGAAGATTTAAATCTACTCCATTACAATAATTTCTTAAATAAAAAAAATTACGTATCTAAAATTGAGTTCGAATCCTTAATCTCTATGTTAAGCTGAAAAAAGTATTTACTATTTTATTCAAATATTTTAAAACATACAATTTTTTTTGATAATGTTAAAGTTTTGGAGTTATATTGTCTATTATGATCATATCCAATTTATTTTTACATTTGCATATTATGAATATTCAATATTAAAAATTCTATTTAAAAGAAGAAAACAAAGAAATAAAAACATATAAAACACAAAAATTTCAATTTTCTATATTTAACCAATCTTCAACCCAAAACTCACATACTTCTCAAAGTTCTTTCCCTCACAAACCCATTAACCTTTTCACCCAAAAAAGTCAAAAGCCACAAAACACAATACACACAAAACCAAAGGAAAAAAAAAAAAAACCAAAAACCAAAAACCCCATTTCTAAAAATCGAAACTTTATCATCGTACAACAACCCTTTCAGCTCAATGATTCACAAAACCATGTCTTCTTCACTGTTCTTCCTCTTCTTCACAATATTCACTTTCTGGGTATTCTTCACTTCATCCCAAGCTGAAGAAGACGACGTAAGATGTCTCCGAGGTATCAAAGATTCCCTAGGAAATTCCGAAAGCGGTATTTCATCATGGAGTTTCAACAACAACACCGTAGGTTTCATCTGTGATTTTGCTGGTGTCGCTTGCTGGAACGTAAGAGAGAATCGAGTTTTGGGCTTGGAGCTTAAGGGTATGAAACTCACCGGTAAGATCCCAGAATCTTTGAAGTATTGTGGACAAAACTTGCAAAAATTGGATCTTGGTTCAAATTCATTGAGTTCAGTGATTCCAACGCAGATCTGTAATTGGATGCCGTATTTGGTAACAATGGATTTATCTGGTAATGATCTTTCAGGTTCAATTCCGAATACTCTTGTGAATTGTTCATACTTGAATGAGTTGATGTTATCTGATAATCGTCTTAGTGGTAGAATACCTTATGAAATTGGTAGTTTAACTAGGCTTCATAAGTTTTCTGTTGCTAATAATCAACTTAGTGGGAGTATTCCATCGTTTTTCAATGGTTTTGATAAGGAAGATTTTGATGGGAATAGTGGTTTATGTGGTGGGCCACTTGGTTCAAAGTGTGGTAGTATGAGTAAGAAGAATCTTGCTATTATTATTGCGGCCGGTGTTTTCGGTGCGGCGGGTTCTTTGTTGTTGGCTTTTGGGTTATGGTGGTGGTATCATATTAGGTTGAGGAGGGAGAGGAGTAAGGAAGGGTATGTGGTTGGCGGGGTTGACGATTGGGCGTTGAGGTTGAGAGGTCATAAGCTTGCGCAAGTTAATCTTTTTCAGAAGCCGATTGTGAAGGTTAAGCTTGGTGATTTGATGGCTGCGACGAATAATTTTAGTTCGGAGAATGTTTTGATTACGACGAGGACCGGTGCGACGTATAGGGCAGATTTACCGGACGGTTCGACGCTTGCGGTGAAGCGGTTGAGCACTTGTAAGATTGGTGAGAATCAGTTTAAGAAGGAGATGAATCGATTGGGGCAGCTTAGGCATCCGAATTTGGCGCCTTTGTTAGGGTATTGTGTTGTGGAAGAGGAGAAGCTTTTGGTTTATAAGCATATGTCGAACGGGACGCTTTATTCGTTGTTGCATAAGAATAGCGGCACGTTGGATTGGTTGATGAGGTTTAGGATAGGGTTGGGTGCGGCGAGGGGACTCGCGTGGTTGCATCATGGTTGTCATCCTCCGATTATACAGCAGAATATTTGTTCAAATGTGATTCTTGTTGACGAAGAATTCGACGCTCGGATAATGGACTTTGGACTCGCGAGGCTTATGACGTCTGACTCCAATGGTAGTTTTGTGAACGGAGATTTGGGGGAGCTCGGTTATATCGCTCCTGAGTATTCGAGTACGATGGTTGCTTCGTTGAAAGGAGACGTGTATGGATTCGGAGTTTTGCTTTTGGAGTTGGTCTCAGGGTGCAAGCCTCTCGAGGTGAACCGCGGCGATGAAGAATTTAAGGGTAACTTAGTGGATTGGGTGAATGTGCATTCTAGTTCAGGCAAACTCAAGGATTGCATCGATAAAGCAATATGTGGTAAAGGTAACGACGAGGAGATTCTGCAGTTTCTGAAAATCGCGTCCAATTGCATCGTTGCTCGCCCGAAAGATAGGTGGTCTATGTATCAAGTTTATCATTCATTGAAAACCATTTCCAAAGACAATAGTTTCTCCGAACAAGACGACGAGTTTCCATTGATCTTCGGTAAGCCAGAGAATGAACCAACTTAATTCGTGCTTGAGCACGTCAGGAGAAGAAGACGAAAACCGAGATTTTATCGAGTTCCTAGTTATGTTCATTGTTGACACTAATCAGAGGTATAATTGTTCTTGTATGATATAAGAATGTTTGTGGTATAGATCAGGTTATTGTGATTTATGAAATCTAATATGTTTCAATGCAACCTTAAATGTTGTCTAAGATATTCGGAGTATGTTTAAGATTCTCTGTAAAAATGTGTTATTAAGATGATTAATCTTTTATTGTGTTTTGCAAATATTTGATTGGAAAATTTGCAGCATTTAAATTCTGCATATAATAATTAGTAAGATGTCATGTTTTTTTAATATAAATATTTGTGTTAGAAATGGTGAAAATAACATCTTTGTTTATTTAGTGAAAATTAAAACATCTTTGTTAGAACAACGACCAAAAGTCTATAAGTACTAGGTTATATTGTCTATTTCATTATGTCTTGTCATGAATTAAGGTTAATAATACACTACTAGTAGTATTAAACTTATCTTTAAATATCTACTTATCTTATACTTCAATGTTAATTAAATATGTACTTATATTCTTAATTTTTGAACACTTGAGAATGGTAAGAAAGTACAAAGATTATGTTTTTTTTTAAAATATTTTTTTTATATAATTCCGTGGTATAATTATTTATCCATCTAGAACACTTTCCTTCCTTTTTATTGGCTCTTTTTTACTCAAAAATGTAACATGCTTTTGTTATGTTTGTCATTTTTAAGCAATTCTATAAAAGTAGATTTTTTTTTTTATAAATAAAAGTTAAACATAGATTTAAAGTAATATTTTTATAATTATTAATGAAAATAGAAAATAAAACATAAACTATTTTCTAATTAAAAAGCTTTAGCAATCCAAAAGTAACAAATGAATAAAAAGAATTATTATATCTTTGGTTTTACGGTTAATAAAATTGATTTTTGAGAAAATTCATTTTATAAAATTGATTTTGACTAAAATTAAATTGAAGTTAAAATAATTAACGTTTAGATAAAATTTAGTTAAAATGACCATTGTAAAAATTACTATTAGATTCAAAATCTAACAAATTTTATCTTAAAATAAAATTTGTAAAAGTTACTTTGGTGTCATGGTTTTTGTGTCTTGTTGATTGGGACATGCTTAGCGTAGAAGGCAATTCATGTGGTAAAAAAAAAGCTCTTAAGAAATAATTGAAAATAAAACAGTCAATGTTTGTATCTTTGAATAGAAAAGTTGTAAAGGAACATGGCAACTTATGTGGACCATTGCTATCAAGATAAAGGAAATGACTATTTAACAAACGACTTAAATCAATGACTTTGAAACTTTTGTTGCTTATTGTGAGGTGTGTGGAAACTTCACTTAATAATAATCATATAATTTGGTGCTTTGAACAAGTATGAGTTTAGAATGAAGCAAATAAATAAGAGTGAGTTTAGAATTTGAAATTAGGTTTTATTCAACTCCAAAACCTACTTAATATTTATTTTATTTTTGTTATTGATCAATTAGGCAACACATACACAAATAAACGTAAAGAGAAATGAGATATCATAGGTTCACATTAATACACCAACATTGATGCAATTAGATTTTCCTACTATATGGTGAGCATCAACATTGAATTCCCTCCCAACAAACATAACTTCAACATTCACAAACTTTTTCATTAACACAAAATAATCTAAAACTAAAGGCTCTGACACCACAGAGAGAGACATTACTAACGTAATCACCATCCAAGGCATCTGACACCACAAAGAGATACATTGCTAACGCAATCACCATCCAAGGCATATGATTGAACTATGATTTTCTAAAGCTTTAAATCGAGCGCCAACCACAAACCCCATCTTATCGTCATTGCCTCTACAATACTTGGATCAATTGAGATTTCTAGTCTATGACAAGCAGAAAGGACCACCTTTTGATCTTTATCTTTGATGACACAACCTAACACCAAGTTACCATTAGAGAAGCACCCAACGTCCACCTGAATTAAATGATAATCGAGCAGGCATCCAGTGGGCTCACACAACCAATCTACTTCTTTTTTGTTCTCAGTAGGAGATTCATTTTATTAAACTCCACAACATGGCCCCTAGCATAATTAGCTACTTCTTGAGGGACAGCTGATCTATTAGTGAAGATACAATCATTCCTATTCTTTCAAACTTGCCACAGGGTAGTGCACAATAATTGGACACCAAAAGCGTCGTTCATATCAAGACCATTTTCCAACCATCTATTCGGATCAATGTTTGGAGAGATTCGAAAATCCAATGGGGAAGAGAACCAAACCAATTTTGCAAAGGAGCAACCCAAAAGTAAGTGTTGAATGGTTTCAGGAAATTCATGACAAAAAGGGCATGTGAAATCAAGTTTCAAACTTTTTTCCTCCATATTAGTCCTAGTTGGTAGAATATTCTTTCCAAATCTCCACTTGAAGTTTCTTATCCATGCGTGCACTAGGGCTTTCTAGAGTTTTTTCCAGAGCGAAGCGTCACGAGGCTTGAAGGATTTCTCCTTCAAAGCTTCTCTTTTAGCACCCAACATGTGGTAAGCAGTCCTAACTGAGTATTCACCCTCTTTTTTACCAATGCCAAATAAGCCTACCTTTCAATCTGCTTTTCGAAATAGGGATACTTGCTATCTGCCTGGCCTCTCAAGGGTTGAAACAAGCATCCAATATATTCTGTATCTAACAAGCTAAATCTTGGTCTACTAACGCTTTCATCATAGAATTCGAATTCAATCTACAAACAACACTCATGAATTTAAAGCTCTTATTCTCTTGGAGACAGTTGTCCTTCCAAATCCTTACTTTAGATCCATCACCAATTCTCCAGTAAGATCTAGCAATGACCATCTCTCTCGAGCATATAATGTTTCTCTACACATAGCTTGACGCATATCCGACCCGCGTCTCATGAATTAAAAACCTTGGATAATATTTTCTCTTCAACACTTCTACAAGTAAAGAACATTTATCAGTCTATATTATCTAGAAATGCTTACCCAACATTCTCAAATTAAACTTTGATATTCCCCGAAAGTCCATCCCCCACTTCCTTTAGCCTCGACAAGTTTCTACCATCTATCTAATGAAGCTTTCATTCCCCTTCTCTAGATCCCCACCAAAACTTAGCCATCAGGCTCTCCAATTCGTTACACACTCCTTCTGGATTTTTAAAGCAACTCATGCTATACGTTGGGATTGCTTGGGCTACAACTTTGATGGGAACCTCTTTTCCTGCTCGAGACATAAATCATTCCTTCCACCCTTTCAATTTCTTCCACACACGATCAGCAACAACCGACAACACCTCTTTTTTGGACCTACTAAAAAGAACTGGTATGATGATACATCTTGAATGAGATTGTACTGTTTTTACTTCCATCTTGTTACAAATTGTATCTTTGACATCATCAAGAACAGTTTGACTGAACAATTTTTTTTTGTTTTTTGTTTTCCCCTTCAGGGGGAGTACTGATAATGTGTGACAGGGGGAGTGGTATACCTGTCTGTTTTGCTGCTGCAAGTTTGCAGTATGTACAAAGATTACATGCTCTCATGTAGTTTGTGTTGGTTTGTGATGTCAAACCTAATGTCTTGATATTGTGCTGTCAGGTGTTCTTTATTGGTGTGACAACATTGTGCTTGGGTTTCCGTGTTTATGTTTTTTTCCGCTTGTGTACCTCTGATGTGTGCTAAGGTTGTTTTAGCCAAAATTTGCCAATGGGAAAGATTGTAAGTCCTGTGGTTTTTGAACTGGCTACATTTTAGTAAAACAATATGCTGTTAGCAAGATGTTAAACCAGATGTTCTGCCATGACAATCAGACATCATATTCTGCATGATGTTGTGACATGTTCCAGGACATGTTATACCGGATAGTTAGGGCATGTCTATTTTGATATTTTTAGTGTGCTATGATGCATACGTGGAAAATTTTTATAGGAGTATATTGTGATATTTTTTGTTATGACACATTCTGTTACTTTTCGCAAAAAGGATCCTTGGACATTTTTAGGAAAGTTTGTATTTTGCTCCTATTATTATGCAGGATGATTTGCAACCAGTTTATACTGATTGATGCTATTTGTGCGCCTCAAGAAGCCAAAGTCCAGTAGGTCTGAAGGCTATTTATAGAGAATACAAACCCTATTGGAGAAGAGAATTCAACATGAGGATTTTGGGAAATAAGGATTAGTCTTTGATTTGGTTGGTCTTTAGGGTTTAATGTTTGTTAATTGTATGTCACTCATGTATCTTCTGATGCACTAAGTTTGAGTGATTGTTTATTATTCATTGTCCACTCTAAAGCTTTTAAGCAAGAGTGTATTATTCTTGATTAGAGCTTTTAAGCAAGACCAAGTATTGTCTTGGAAGTGTGCTAATTTTATTGTTTGTTGTTTTTGAATTGTCACTGAGAATGTGACTTATTAGGGAGTGAGAGGGGGATCTCATATCTAGAGGGTGTCTAGGTAGAAGTTGCATAAGATAGAGATTAAGCGATAAATTATAAACTGGCGAGTTTAACTTTGAACTAATACTATCATAGTGAATTTCCTTCCTGGCTTGGTAGCCCCCAGATGTAGGTGAGTTCCACCGAACTGGGTTAAAAATTCTGGTGTTGATTTTATTTTTCTATCATTTATTTTCTTGCATTTTTTTACTTGTATGATCAAGCAGTTGTTGATCCTGGTGTTGTGATATCTGTCTCGACATCTGTATCTGCGAGCCATATTTTCATTCTTCATTTCTTTGGCCTCCTTGTCCAATCCTTTGTGTCTTAATCATTTATGTTTTATGCCTATATTCTGCACAATATCACACATATCAAAGAATCCAAAAGTATTTGCAATATAATTGAAGAATCACACAAGAACAAGAATTAAATCTATCAAAACATGAGAATTGAGTTGAAAACTACGAAGAAAGATGGTTCAATTTAAGTCAAAATTTACACTTAACAAAGATGGAGAAAAGAGGTGACAATTCTAGTAAGGGAGAACTTAGAGAGGTAAGTGTTGAGGGAAACCTTTGGGGGTGTCTAAGAAGATTGTGAAACATTTCTAAGCACATTAAGTTTGTGTGATACATATTTAGAGATTTGAAGAGATTAAGAAACAATTGGGTTGAAGATATCATTTGATCTTAGGAACTTAGGTAACTACTTTATTGTAACTAATTTGTAATCTTTGATAATAACTTTTGAAAATATAGTGAATCAGAGAGAAACTCACTCCTCTAGAGTAGATTGTTTGATCGAAATGAGTAAATAAGTTACTGAGTTTTTTTTTGTCTTTTATCTCCTCATACCAATTTAAATTGATGTCTTATTGCATAATGAGTTATTTTTACTGAAGGACATTTATTTTAATTGTCATTGTTATTTGTTCTCACATATCAAATTTCTTGACATGATTGAATCTTTCAATTTCACAATAAGTGGTGCTCACCGTGGGGCAAAGAGATTTTTTTTACATGTGAACGCCATGTAAAAAGTGAAAATGCAAGAAGTCTTAACTCAAGAGAAGTGTATTGAAGCATTGAAGGGTGAATCTTGATGCCTGCACGCCTTACAAAAGTAAAGAATACCGAGATGGTGGATAAGGTCAGAAATGCCATTATCTTATGCTTCAGGGATAAAATTTTAAGGGAAGTCGTCAAGGAGAAGACTGCAACTTCAATGTGGAAAAAACTTGAATTATTTTTTATGATCAAGTATTTGGTTCACAGGTTGTCTTTGAAACAACAACTTTACTCATTTCAAATGGTAGAGAAAAAAAATCTATATTGGATCCATTGACAAAACATTACAAGATTATTGATGATCTTGAGAATATTGTGGTGAAAATTGAATATGAGGACAACACTCTACTCTTGTTGAGCTCATTCCCCAGATCATTTGAGCACCTTAAGTAGGTATTTCTCTATGGTAAGGAAAGTACTATTCATTTGGATGAAATCCAGACGCCCGTGAGATCCAAATAAATTTAAAAAGTGAAATATTTGAATATTGACGATTATGGTGAAGGCTTGAGTGTAGAAAGAGGAAGAAGTGAGCATAGATGGATGTCCAAATCAAAGAGATTTTAAAAGTCAAGGGTAAAATGCTTTACTTGTCAAAAAACCAGTCACTTCATGAGGGATTGTCGCGGGAAAAAGGGCAATAATGATTATATTCAGTTCTAGTTGCCTATGATGAGGATAATTATGAGAGTGTTGAAACATAATGGTGTCATGTTTTGAGACTAAAGAGGTTTAAGTCATGGACTTAGGTTTCTCTTATCACATGTGTCTAAGAAAAAAAACTTTGAGACTTTGAAGTTGGAGCAAGGTGGAGTAGTTCTCCTTGGTGATAATAAGACTTGCAAGGTTCATGCTATTAGTACAATTAAACTTAAAATGTGTGATGATGATGAGTTTCTTCTTCATAACATGAGGTATGTTCCAAAGCTCAGGAGAAATTTGTTATCCATAAGCATGTTCGACGATCTAGGCTATTGTTCTAGAGTTGAATATGAGGTGTTGGGGATTTTAAATTATGAAGTGATCATAGCTAAAGGATATAGAATATGTGGTTTATATATTTAAGAAGGTTTCAACATTGTTGTTCATTCATCATCAACTAGTGAAGATTTTCATGACAAGAACAAGCTGTGGGATTTGAGGTTAAGGCACGGTGAATGCCTGAAGGTTGTTCCAGATTGATTTAATGAGTTTTACAGAAAACATGAGATAAAAACACATGTGGCCGTTGAATTATTATTCAGTTTCTAGGATAAGTATGACGCCAAAACAACTTACAAGAATATACTTCTAAACATTTACGGAGGTTTGATTAGGAAGACGATAACCTATTATGTTTTGAAGGTCTTCAAAACTTTGTCTAATGTACAAATCAAGCTAACTCATCTTGATGGTAAAATGGATTATGTCTTCAATGACTATCTAAGATGTATGAAGGATTATGAATTATTGGGAGTGAAACTTGGAGGATCGAAATTCATCAATTGCAAATGTATTACTTTTAATGAGTTTCCTCAGAAAAAGAAGAGTAAAAACCCGAGGATGAATCTTTTAGAAAATATGGTAGAGAAGACTCAATTTGAGGTGGAAGTTCCTACAATGAATACAAGTAGGGAATAATTATATATGCATCTGATTATCATTTGACTCGTAATAAGATAAAGAGGGAGATTATACCATTTTAAAGGGACAAATATACTAGTCTAGAGTATTATGCTCTGAATTTGGATGAAGGATTGCAAAACTATCAAACATGCATCTTTAGAGAGGCATTCGAAAGCACGTGGAGCAAAAATGGTTGAATAACCATACTTATGCGATTTTTAAACAACAAAAACAAGAAAATATGGTTTAAAGCAAGTGGAAAGATGATGGTTCAAAGGTGACTTGAACTTGGTTACTGTTGTTGAATAATGATTTAACATGGTAGAGAGCAACATGGTGGTTGATGGTTAAATTGATATCACCACAGTGTCAAGTCAAGGTATAAAAATGGTGGAAGTATGTCTTAAAATTTTAACTGATAAAAATAAATAAATCATATTTCAAGATTGCATAAACCAAAAGCCATAAAAGTAGGCAAAAAGTTAACAAAAGACGTCAGAATTACAAGTTTGTAGCCCGACAGAGATACTCAGTGATAAGGAGAGACGACCGCTAGAAATAAAAAATCAGTGGCAATTTGGGCCGATCAACGCATTGTTCGGGTTTTCACTCATCTAGTCCAATTTTTTCAATTTGTGTGTTTTGGGCTTCTTCATTTTAATCTGTGGATCAGTTCATTAATGAGTTGTGTTTTGGGCTTGTTATGGATTCATTGAATTTTAGCAATTATAAATATGTATCCTTGCATTCTTATTATCACAACCTTTAGAACTTTACAGATGAAGACCTGACAATCTTAGTAGAGAAAAACCTAGAGAGACAATAGTTGAGGGAAACCTTTGAAGATATCTAAAAAGATTGAGAAACACTTGTAAACACTCTAAATTTGTGTAATTTATATAAAGTTGAATAAATTTAGAAACACTTAAGTATACAATAGACTTTATTCTTGAGAACTTGAGTAATTATGTTTTTTTTTAATTCATTTGTAATATTTGGTAATAACTTTTGAAAATATATGATTTGTATGATTGAGTCTAAACGTAATTTTAACATTAAAATTTACTATTCATTATTTTTGATATAAATTTATCCAAACATAAAATATTTTATCTTCAACTCATTTTTAATAAAAATCAGTTCATCAATAATCAATTCACTAAAAATCAATTTACCTCGGTGCAGATTCGGACATGCACGCTAGCGTAAAACCATTACAACACTAAATTCATAGTCTCAAATTCATATCTTGTCTTACAAGAAAGTGAGAGTTATGTTCCATTTACAATCACTAATTTAACCATATGACACATCAAAGTGAAATTCCCAACACTTTAAAACAAAAAAATTGAAGTGTACTTCACTTCAACCCACCCTTTTGCTACTAAGAAGACAAGAAAGAATGTAGGGGCCCTAATGAAAATAGACAAGTATGTATGACACAATTTGTGATCCGATTGAGCAGAATTTCATCAGTCAATAAAGAGAAACATAAACTGCCATAATCTAAGAATCTGTCTCCCATGCAATATCTATATTCATTCATTTCTTTGAATCTTAGTTACTTTGGACCAAGTCACATCCTTCTCGAATCTATAGAAAAAATCAATCTTGAAAGAAAAAGCAAAGATAAAGAAAAAGCACTAAGCTGCAGAGATTGCTCATTTGCCTTTAGTCCTGTGGGATACCTCAATTTGGAACCTCTCCTTAATTTAATGGTTAATCATGTCTTTAGGATTTGCCAAATTTGGTGATTTTAACTAACATTAACTTACTAACACACAAAAAAAAAAACATGTCTTTGAGGCCTAAATATATAATAAATAGAAAATCGCAAATTCGATCTAGTGTAACCATCAATATACAAAGGTGTAATAATCACTAAAAACTCACACACAACTGTGACGTTTAACCTAACAATATCAATTTTTATCATTTGAACTAAAATTTAAGACTTTTGAACATTAATTAAACAAGATTAATAACCAAGTGGCACCATTATAGGTCCACATGGCACAAGAAAGAAAACCATGATGTTTAGATTAATAAATGAAAGTGCTTTGTTGAACACTAGGCACTTAAAAGAAGGTGCAACCATAAAGTATTCCTAAAGACTACTACTACTAGTAAAAAAAACTAAAGCCTAATTATATGATGCATGGAGACTATACCTTTTTTTACTTCATAATTTTATATAACATAATGGAATCCAAAATTTTGGTTAATTCATTACCTAAAGACTTGATTTACAACAACAAAAAGTTACATTTAGAAAGAAGAAAAAAAAGACAACATTAGGATCACACTTGTAGGCTTGAAAACACTTAAAATACTATGTAACAACAATAATATCTTATAGAACACACTTTGAATTCTTCAACACAAAAAATCATGATTTCTTCTATGATTTTTTCCCCTCAAACTAGTTGTGGAACTTCAACATGTTCATGCTTGATTAGGTGGTTGTCTATATTTTGCTGCTCTCCTGAATTCATATATCAAAATACAAAAATATTTAGAATAATAGAAAGATAAAGAAAAGGGTGAGATATATTATACGCATATAAATTAAATGACATAGAAACTAATTTTTATATTTTTAATTTTTAAATATAAAAATTAATATATATATATATATATATATATATATATATATATATATATATATATATATATATATATATATATATATATATATATATATATATATATATATATATATATATATATATATATATATATATATATATATATATATATATATATATATATATATATATATATATATATATATATATATATATATATATATATATATATATATATATATATATATATATATATATATATATATATATATATATATATATATATATATATATATATATATATATATATATATATATATATATATATATATATATATATATATATATATATATATATATATATATATATATATATATATATATATATATATATATATATATATATATATATATATATATATATATATATATATATATATATATATATATATATATAATTTTATATTTTTAATTTTCAGATTTTTAATTTTTATAATTTGAATTCATATATAAAAGATTTGTCGATTTGTCAATTAAATCAAATTGAATTAATTTTTTTTTTGTATTTTTAATTTTAAAATAATTTTTATTTTTTAAATTTTTTTTGTATTTTTAATTTGGGTTTTATTTTGAATTGGATTGTTGAGTTCAAATGTGTCTAAAAGTTTTTCATGATCCTAAAATAAATTAATCAAGCTTTTCATAGAAAGGAAAAGGAACTACCTAATTAATTTTTTTCATCTTCTTTTCCCTCCAATAACTAAAGTAGTACAGTTCTTCACCCAATGTCTTTTTTTGATTTCTCATAAAAATAAGAGAAAGATTGTTTGTTAAAGAAGCTTTTGATAAAGAGTGAAAACTATCACTCTTTCTTGAGTGTCTTCAAGTATTACCAGCTTTCTTTTAGTAAAAGATAAATTGTGCAAACCTAAACCTAATGAATAAAATAAAATTGAATTCAACATGTATTATTAAATATTAATATATCTATAATTCCAAATTAAATATTAAATTATTAATATTTTAACATTTTATTAATATCACATTATAAAAAAAAGTCACATGACGTGTCCGATTTCACCCTGACAAATATCACTATAATTAACAATGACTACTAAAATTGAAAATGAAAGCTATGCAAACACGAAAAAACAAATAACATTTTTGTAAAAATTAAAAACGAAATTGATATAATCATGCAAATATATATTATTATTAAATCTTAAACCCTAAATCCTAAAATATTATAGAAAATCATCTAAGAATCACGTACATATATACTAAGTATAACCCTGACATTGACATGTCAACATCATAAATAAATTAAACATATAATCATAAGTCAGTGTCAATATGAACTGTCACATCGTGTCGTAGTATATAAGAAGCTAACTCATAATATATGAAAAAAGTATAAGATATAAATGCGCATATATACATACCTGTTATGTATTGGATCAGGTCCATTTGGTACTCTTCTCTTGCTAACATAGACAAGTTTAGAATTTGAATGCAGAACATGTCTCTTCATATCAACCAACTTTAAATGTTTGGAGATAACATTAACATTGATTGGAACAAGAATTGTTCTTTTTGTTTGAAGATTCATTGTTGAGATAGTAAGAAGCATAAAGCACATGATTCCTAAAGATAACAAAGCTCCAAGAAACAACCTTCTAAAACTAAAACCAAAACCAAAACAAACAACATCCATGTTTTGATGTGTTTTATGAGTTTTCACACAATGGTAGTGACTTGAAGATGAAGGCAAAGGCAAATGCAAATGCATGAGAGTGTTTCAACAACATTGATAAGAGAGAAAACTTGAAATATAAAGAGGAAAAGGGAATGAAGTAGAGTGTTTTGTGTGAGGGAAAGTGAGAGAGATTTTAAGAGAGCATGGATGGAGAAAGATGAAAGGGTAATGAATCAGAAAAGTTAGTTATTTGAGAGTGTTAAAGAAAGGGTCCACTTGAAGTCTCTTTTTGTTGAGTTTGTGCATTTTCATGCAAACTACAAAAGGGGATCTCTCTCACTATGATATATCTAACTCACAAATATTCTTTTATGGTACTTACTTTCAAGTGTGTATGAGTTAAAAGCTTTGCAAGTTATGTGTTATGTAATAACAAATCGATTCAAAACAGAGAACACATAAGACAGAGGAAATCTTTGCAAGTTTATGTGTGGACAGAACAGAGCAAATCTTGCTTAACTCTTACTAATCTAGTTGTTAATTTTTTAACATTGTGTGTGTGTTTTTTTTTAAAATAAAAAAACTCGGTATCCGACCATAAGACCGATTAATCTTCACCATTTACTAATGGAGACTCATATAAAGATAAAATTTTGTTTTATTTTAACTAACCCAACACAAAAATTGTTAATCACTACATTCGAATATAAAATTTAAATCCCAAGTAATATTAAAGTGAAATTCAAGGTATCATATATTAAAAAAATTGACATGTAAAATTAAATAATATTATAGTTTTGTGACACTTATATTTTCGGAATAGTTCAAAACATCTTATAGTTTTTATACATATTGTTTTGTGAATGGATAGTTTGGTTTATATTTATTATCAAGGTTTAAATTTAAATTTAATATTTTATTTTACATAAAGTTATTTATATTTGTTTTATATTGGAATTTGAGGTCGTCGAAAAAAGTGAGTTTACGGTCTATTATAGTGGTTTGCAACTTTCGATGTAGTGGAAAGATAGTTAATCTATAAGATTGATACTCAAATGCTCAAATCAATAAAAGAATGAGAAGTGAAGTTTGAATAGAAAATAAATATTTAAATATTTGTGAATTGACACATTTTTTTCTTTAAATAGAGGGTATATTTGATAACCGCACATGTGCAGAGTGGAGTGGAATGTGATTAGTCATTGGATTAATATGTATTGAATTAGTCATTGGATTAATATGTATTTTTATCTCACACCGATTCCTGTGGAGACGATAAAAACCCGGAGAAAATTCTTCTAAATCTTTGGCTTCTTGCCGCTATATTGCAGTTCGAACATGCATTGACCCTAGATTGTAGTGTTTTTTTGCCACCTTCGGGGGAAGATGGAGGAGATGATGATGAAGAAGGTGTGACTCAGGTAAGTTTTATCGAGGCCCCACAATGGGCACCATTGCACATCTCAAAAAGTAGAGGATTGTGTGGTATCCTTACGTGGGTAAGGAATACTCATAGGCCTTAGTATTTAAAGGGGGGGGGGGGGTTAAGGCTTTCTCATAATGGTGAGTGACCTTTTTTGGTGATGTTTATAGCTATAGAGAGAGCAAGCTCATGTGAGGTAAAAAGCTCTGTGCGTTTCAACGCTATGATAAGGATATGATGATATGTTCTCCCTCCCATTAGGGAAGAAGTGTTTATAGATGCCCTTGGGCCTAGGATTTTCTAAGGACTAGTATCCACCTACTTGGTCAATGGTTGACAGTTGAATCCTTATTTCTAAGGAGAACATGGATCAGTCTGTTGACCATAACTTTCCTCTAACCAAGGAACGTCAATAGGGGCGAGTAGAAGTGAACTTAAGGTGAGACGGTTCCTAAAGGGGGGAACGTATAAGTGTCTCCCATCTTGAGGGTTACCACTCTCCCGACCTTACTAGGAAGTTTACAAATATATCACTACACCTTATTTATATGTGTTCATTGACATTGTAGAGTTTTGATTGCTTTAGTCATGCACCTGTGACATTTGTGATAGAACCCATAAGTCTTTGTGATGGGGGCTTCGGTCTCTCTGGACGTACTCTGGACTCATTGTTACCTTTCATTGTCACAAAGAAAAAAGATAATTTAGTGAAAATTTTCTCTTTTATTTAATCAAACAGTTATAAAACATTATGATAATTTTTATTTTACACAAAAGAACTTAAAATTAACATAACAAAGTGGTATATACATTGTATATTGGCCACGAGATTCGTGGCAGTTGTTCTTAATTTTGTCTAGATCATCCACTTCTGCACGTCCGGTTGAGACATATTTCTTTACTCGAAAGAGGTTGGATAACCTTGTCTTTCAGCTGCCTGATCAAGGAAGCCATGTTGATCTCAATGGATTTAGCTTCACCTTCTTTTCAGTCATACTACAAGGCCTTTTAATTTTTTTTTGCTATAGAAAGGTTGGCGCTGATGTTTGTCAGATTTTCATACACATTGTGGTACTTCAGCTTGAGGTGTACAATGGACGCCATCACATCTAGTGTAGTTGCAACGGGGTAACCTAAGATATAGTTGTAAGCACTCCTTCAAGGAATTATGAGTTAATGGTTATAATATCTCTCCCTCCCTTAAGGTGACCATCAATTTTATGTACCCCACAGGCGGATTACGACGTTGTTGAAGACCTATAGATTAGACCCTTCATAAGGCCACAACTTTTACTTTAATTCCATCTTCTCAAATAGATTCGAGTACATGATGGATGTTGCAGGATCTTCCACCACCAATCAGTATTCTTGGAACATCAAAGTTGGTGATTGTAGATGGTATGACCAAAGGAAAAGTATCATAAGGGATCCCCTAACTTTCTTGCTATCCCAATATCTAAGGATATGTCTTTATGGGCTATTGGTAGATGTGCTAATCTCTTTCTTGCTGACGACCATTAGCTCAACAACATTTCTCTATATCGTACTCTCAGACGGGTTTCTTACCCCGAGGTACCTCCCATGATGTAAGCGATATACCGACGCTTCCTGTAACACATGAGGTCGAAGAGGGCGAGGAGTGGTTGTTAAACTTGAGGCCAAAGATGGAGGGGAGTGGTCGCCCGAATTCACATTAGAATGAAAGGATTCTGAGGTTGTGCAGGTATGTAATTACATGGTTGAAGAAAAGCTTATAAGGACCGATTATACTACCTATACCAACAAGATGTATCTTATTTTTGGTAGCCTAACAAATAAGAACTTCATAACTAAGCATGCTTGACTTGGAGTAGTATTTAGATGGGTGACCTTTTGAGAAGTTTTTTTTTGGAAAGCATGTGAGTAAGGACAAAACATGTTGAAAAGACATGTGTTAGTTTGTCGGGTCTGTCGATAATCTTGAAAGAAATATGAGGAGTTATAAATGGTATCAGAATAGACTTCTTCCAGTGCGATGTGGTTTGGGGACGAACCAAGCAGAAGTTGGTGGACATGTAACACCCGAGGCCGAAGAGGACGGGGAATGGTTGTAATAGCCAAGGCCGAAGAGGGCGGGGAGTGGTCGCCTGAATTCACATCAGAACGAGAGGATCCTGAGGCTGTGTGTATATAAGACTGCATAGTTAAAGAAGGGCTTATGAGGATTGATTGAGACTACATATACCAATAACATGCATCTTCTTTTCGGTAGCCTAATAAATAAGAACTCCATAGTTAAACATGCTTGACTTGGAGTAGTATTTAGATGGGTGACCTTCTAGGAAGTTTTTCGAAAAGGGTGCGAGTAAGGACAAAACATGTTGAAAAGTCTTGTGTTGGTTTGTGGGGTCAGTTGGTAATCTTGAAAGCAGTCAGGGACATTACACTTCCCCTCGTGCTCTTTGCCTTTTCCAGTACTTGCCTCTTTTCCTTTCCCCCAACGACGACTTCAATGACTTTCTTGGGGGATCGCTTCCTCTTTGGGGAGTCCTTTCTGCCTTTTTTATTGTCCTTGGTATACTTAAACAGTTGCCCCTTCTTTATTATCTCTTCTATTGCATCCTTCACCAAGATGCAGTCGTTGGTGTGGTGACTATGAATCTTGTGAAAACGATAATATTTGTACTTATCAGTCAATGCAGACTCCCTGGCTAGATATGAGCTCTTTATCTTGAGCTTTTTAAACTCCATGTTTACGTACTCCTTCAAGATACTCTCCCGTGAAGTGTTAAACGGAGTATACACGTCAAACCTTGATAGAGGTCTATGTTTACTTTCCTCTTTAGACCGATCAAAAATTTTTTTATAATGGTTGGCCAAATTCGGAGTTCCCAGACCTTTAGTTTCCTCCGTTGGCCAAAATCTTTTCTTCGTAGTTAATGTAAGGATGTGAGCTACTCAATAAATCCTTCAAATTGTGGGCTTCTTTGTGCCCTAGATTTTTCCAGAACACATAGTTTAGTATGAGACCCTTCTCAAAGTTACCTATGGCTTTCATCTAAGCCTCCAATGTTTACTGCCACCTTGGTGAAATGGTCAATATATTCGCACATGGTTTCCTTCCCACAGTCGACGCTAATGTTTCGTACTAGAACTAGAGTTGATCGAAAAAAATGAGTTCGCAGTGTATTATGGTGGTTAGTTACTTCTTCTTGGAGGTGAAATGGGCTGTGAAATCCTTACACACGTCATACCAAGAATATATACTTTCACATTGAAGGGACTTGTACCAGGCTAGGGTCGATTCAGTTAGGGTTATCATATAAAAAAACTTCCACTTCAAGTCTCTGTCGCCATTGTAGTAGTCAAGCCGATCATCCATGTACTTGATGTTCTCCTCTAAATCTCCACTCCCATTATAACTCTGGAGCTTCAGGGCTTCTCAAGTTACTTTGGGATTCAAATGTCTAAGATGTGAGCGGACGTGGAGTTCTTCTTTTACGTCTGGATGTGAAAATTTTCTTCATACCTTTCTCTCCTCCTAGGACGACGAACTTCAAGAGGAGTGTGACTACCTCCCCTTACTTCATGATCAAAGGAAGGAGTATGATGCTTG